GGGGGATCTGTGCTGTATATTGGGGTGGGCAGAGCTGTATATTGTGAGTGGGTCTGTGCAGTATATTGGGAGGAGGAGGTCTGTGCATTATCTTGGCGGGGGGAGGGACTGTGCATTGTATTCTGTGCAGTATATTTCAGCAGTATATTGGGGGATTTGTCCAGTATATTGTGGGGCTGTCTGCTGTATATTGGGGAGGTCTGTGCATTATATATTGGGAGGGGGTCTGTGCAGTATATTGGGAGGGGGGCTGTGCAGTATATTGAGAGGGTATAAGCATTGATTTATATATTGGGTGATTGCAGTGTAATAAGAGGAGGAGGTCTGTGTGCAGTATCTTGGCGGGGAGGGACTGTGCAATGTATTGGGTGGACTTTATAGTATATTGGGAGGGGGTATGTGCAGTTTCTTGGGGGATCTGTGCTGTATATTGGGGAGGGGTTCTGCGCAGTATATTGGGGATCTGTGCAGTCTATTGTGGGGGTCTATGCTGTATATTGGGAAGGGCTGTGCAGTATATTGGGAGGGGTCTGTGCAGTATATTGGGAGGGGGTATGTGCAGTTTCTTGGGGGCGTCTGTGCAGTATATTGTGGGCGTCTGTGCAGTATATTGGGGGCATCTGTGCTGTAAATTGTGGGGGGATATTGGGGATGGGGTCTGTGCAGTATATTGGGGAGAGGGTCTGTGCAGTATATTGTGCAGTATATTGGGGAGGGGGTCTGTGCAGTGTTTTGGGAGGAGGTGTCTGTACTGTATATTGGTTGGGTCTGTGCAGTATCTGGGGTGGTCTGTGCTGTATATTGGGGTGGTGTGCTGTATATTGGATGGTTTGTGCTGTATATTGGGGTGGACTGTGCTGTATATTGGTGTGGACTGTGCTGTATATTGTGAGTGGGTCTGTGCAAGATGGAGGAGGAGGTCTGTGCATTATCTTGGCGGGGAGGGACTGTGCATTGTGATAAGGAGAATGGGGGTTGGACAGACTGTCTAAAATGTTAATGGAATAGATGCATATCTAAACACAGACATTTGTGACAGAGGAGATTAAATAATAAAATTTTACTTTCTATATGTACAAGATCCCATTGTAAATTACGGGTCAAAACTTAGTTATAACTGTCATATTAGAAATTATAGCAGAATTTGCCAGACACATAGTCTGGACAAAACTTAAAGAAACTGTTTGATCTGACAGAAAACTTAAATTATGGCAACCATATAGATAAGCCAAAATGAAGTCAAAATAGCCACCAAGAAAAGTTAACTGTGACAAAGTGCCCTTCGCCACTTGGTCCTGGAGAAGCCTACTTGCCAGCCTCCTCCCCTGTGACTATGACTCTTTCATGTATCTGGCTTTAAAGCCCCTAGTCTACCTTCAGACAGACTATTTATGTAGGCTGCTTTATTTATCTTATGTTTTAGTCAACCTGTACCCATTATAGGTGCAGGGTGTGTGTTATGTAATTGTTTATAGTGTGTGTGTGTGTACTGTGTAATGTATTGCCTGCTCTCTTGTATTGCTGAGGTTTGCTACTGTGACGAGACCAATCTCGCCACATTGCATTGGAGAAGCCTGGTTGCTCGCCTGCTGCCCTTGGACTATGGCCCCCTTTTAAAAGACTTTATTTTTGCCTGCAGAAAAGCTGTATTCGTGCTTTTCTGCCTGGGGTTCAGTAGATTTGTTTGAATGTGTTATACCCCAGATAGGAATCCCATGGAGCCCATTCGTATGAAACTGACTGTAAATACTTTAGCTCCACGGCGATTAAACTGTATTCGTGTGGTCTGAGCGACATTCACTTAATAATGTGCGCTCGGACCTGAGCTATCTGGGGATATGTTACATGTCTGTGTTTTATGTAATAAATGTGACTTTATGTATTTTAAAGTGTTTTGTGTCTCTTTGCAACCATGTGCTTAATGGAGTCTTGTGTCTGTCCTGGGAGATAATTGAATTACTCTCCAGGATAGAAGACTCTGAAACTGGTTTGGGCCAGAAAGCCATGCTTCATTTAGTCACAAAAGGACTTTTTACTAACTTTTGAACCCCTGGTCTGATTCATGCCATTTTTTAATATGTTGTTCCCCTGAATGGATTGATTGTGAATATGTAATTTTATGTGAATGTGATGTATGGTTTTGGAGTTATGAAAGTTGGGTAGAAAGTATGTTTTAACTGTTTGTATAATTGAGTTTCCTCTCAGGATAGGGGGAGGGAATATGTGGGATGTAACTGTGATATGATTGGTTGTTTTATCCCTGCCTGTGGGTGGTCCTGTATTTGAAACACTGTAATAAAAACCAGGCTGGGTGTGCCAGCACCTCAGACCACTGCTTGACCCTCAACACGGAGCCTTGTCTCGTTCTTGGGGGGATTCACTGTATGCTGTTAGAGACTGATTGCCAGGAGTGTAAGCTGATTGTCTGCTTTTCCTGTTAGTCTGCTAGCAGCTATTTGGGAGGTTCCAGTTCGGGAGTTGGAGTGCTATTTTGTATCCAGTTCGGGAGTTTGGTGTTCTGCAGTAGCT